ATGACAAAGAGCCCATCAGGGGGATCACTTAATTCCCTGCAGGCCATTTAGCAAAGGCAAGCAGCATTGGATCAGAATTTGGGCAGGTGTACTGGGCTCTCACTGGGTGCCCAGCTGGCATCCTGTAGCAAGGATAGGGGTAGGCGGGATGATTGAGAGACCAGTGGAGGAAATGCTAACCTAAGGAAGGTTAAGACCTTGAGGTTCCTTCCAGTGGACACAGGGAAGGATGTCCCACTCTGCCTGACACTAATCTCACAGGAAAATCTGCCAGACTGGTTGTCTGGCATGGGTTTCTCATGCCACCAGTAAAATCACAGCATGGCATGTTGTGGTCTTTAGGTGACCATTACCACCTGTTACAGCATCACAGAATTGTTACAGCGCAGAAGAAGGCTATTCAGCCCTTCATATCTGCAATAGCCCTATCACCTCATGTCAATCTGAAACCTTTCTCCATATCCTTGCACACCATTTCAATCTGAATGCCTCATTTGAGCATGTCCCCATCACATTTCCAGGCACTGCATTCCATTCCCAAACTATTTTCTGTGTGAAAAATGAAATTATCAGAGTTTAGTGATGGTGTGCTTCCAGTTCAGAATTGAGCTATGGTCAGTTTTGCAGGTCACATTTAAACAAACTGGGGATTACAGATGCACCAGTTGGGGTGCTATTGAGACATCAGCTTCATGTTTTTCCTGAGTCGAGACAAAGAGAGATAATGCATATGACTGAAGTGGATGCAAGATCAGTTAGTGGAGACACAGGAGAGATGGTGAGGCATCCCCAGTGAGTGAGCAGGAAGTGTAGAGGACAGGAAATGTTCATGGATTGGGTGGGTGAGAGCTGTTGAATGGACATGATGGCTGTAATAATAAGGGTTGTAGTCTGAGACAAAAGCAAAGTTGCTGGAAAAGCTCAGCAGGTCTGGCAACAATCTGTGAAGAATCTTCACAGATGCTGCCAGACCTGCTGAGCTTTTCCAGCAACTTCGTTTTTGTTCCTGATTTACAGCATCTGCAGTTCTTTCAGTTTTTATGTTGTAGTCCGAGAGTCTTGGTGAGAGACATGTAGCAGAGTTTGAGCAAGTAATGACCTTGTGAGTGTGAGGTCACAGAGAAGATGGAGTCATTAACCTTGAGGAGCACAGATCATTGGCAATCTTTCTACATTACCGGGTGTCACATGTCACTCATGTCACAGCGAGCTGTAGCAGCTGACCGATAAAAGAACTGCCCTCCTTTCCTCCATCGTGTCTACCAACACCTGCAGTTCCGTGGCTATAAGCAGGCAGCAAGCCATCCTTTCCTCTTAGCCATGTGTTGAATGTTGATAATAATTGGTATGGGGTCTAGTTCCTGGCTTGTAGCACCTGAAGCAGTGGTGGAGGTGGACTTTGCATATGGCATCAGTGTCATGAAAACTGAGAGATGCGATGAACATTTCTACCTCTCCAGCCTGTGTGCCTATTTGCTGGAGTTTTGATGTTAATGTGAAATGCTAAATGAAGAATTACTCAATAATAAGGCATTAATAACAGGAGGGCAGATAGAAAAGTTGGCTTGTGAACTATGTGGTTCCTCCTCACTGTTCACCCATTGACGCTGGGGAGAATTCGACTGTTTGGTCTCCTCCCCTTGGTCCTTGCAAACCTAACAGCAGTGTTCCCTGTGATAGTTTTAATATATTGCAATTTGTATGAATATAGAGATTATTTTTTGTATTCCAATTTTCTGCTATTGATGGTGGGCTGTCATATTGGACAGTGATGGATGGCAAAGTCCTGTTATTGAATCACATCATTTACAAATGGTGGCATGAGATAAACGTAAACAAAGAATAAAATTGAATTATATTTTTTCCAAGGATGGATGTGTAGCTGAGTACCAAAACATAGCACAATGAATGCTTTCCAAAGAGAAGTGCTGAAATCATGCTCACTGATTCAGATATTCAAGGCAATGGGAGAAGGGGTGACATTTTTGTTTAAACAAAGAAGACAAATGGAGGCACAGGGTAGCTTTTAGGTTGGTGCTTCTACCTTCAAAGACACATTATCTCTGACATGCTTCAGAATTGAATGAAATGCATATAGATTTATAAAACCATTACATGTCTGGTGGGTAATAAAAGACAATTATGTATCATCCCCTCATCCCACAAAATCACGGGAAATGGAAAATAATCTTGCATGCTAAAGGGCTTGTGTTTTTTTTAATGAACAAATGTGACTTAATTAATGTTTAAAATTTCCTTTGGAAGCCAAGCTTTAAATCCTGTTTTCACCCTGAATGAATGTTAGTGAACAGATTCATAACAAGCAAAGATTGTGCATACGACTTTTATGAATCAATTAAAATTGAGATTATCCCTCCCAGTCCCAATGGGATAGATATAGGCAAAGACTAAACAGTAACCTTTAACAACGTCTTTTTAGAGGGAAATGTATGATGACTGGATGGAGAAAGGATACTCTATCAGCTGAAACACTGCTCCTCAGTTTTGGACACTCAATGTGAAGCAGGATCCAAGTGAATGTTACAGCCATTGGCAGTGAATACATAGAAATAGCTATTTATCCTTTCCTCACCTTTTTTGTAGATGCAGCATTTTGGTGTACTGTTGAAAACTGTGCAGAACCTGTTAGATTGTGCGGGTTGTATTTTTTGCTTGTGACAACTTTCAAATCAATTTTAAGTTTGCTATGCACTAAGTTGGCTGAAGGATTTTTTAGCCTATTATAATGTAAGGTTTCTGATTTATATGTATTCTAATGTCTTTTATTTTGGAGTTTGGATTTTGAACTAGTGACATGTGAATTTTGGTTTGTGTGTATGAGGGATTTGACAGTATTTCTGGAGCTATGATTTAAATAAAAGGAATAGTATGGGAGAGGGAATTGTTGAGGTGAATATGGGGATTTGTTTGCATTGTGAGACTATTATGAGTGGGCAGAATGAACATTGAGGAGCATTAGCTGCTTGCTTTCTGTTTAGAAGGATCAGTTTTTTTTTGTATGAGGGAAAACCCATAGCTTGAAAGCGTTTGTTTGTCAGTTTGCAAAAGCCTTGGTTGAAGTTAGATGTATGAATGGAGTGAGAGAAAGAAGCTGGTTCAGAAAACTAGGTTGCCACCAGTCTAAACAGTCTAGTTTGAAAATTCCATACCAAAAGTTGTCAGTTAGAAACTTGAAGTGCTGTGTGAAGTTGAGAGAGTCTAAGCTCCGTATGACTAATCAAGGAACCTCTTGAGATCAGGAATCAAAAGAAACCTAGAGATGTGATAGAAAAATGATCTCCCTCTGGTATTTGAATATGGTAACATGATGGTGTTAGGATAGATGAGATTGTACTTTTACTGTGTTTTAGCATCTTTTAAACTATATTATATGAAAATAACAGAATTTGTTTTATTTCATCTTCCTTATGTTACAGATGAGCTTCTGCTTTATTGTTAAACCAAGTCTGCAGTATTAAATGTTCGTGTTTTAGTGAAAGACCACCTTGTTATTGAAAAAAATCTATCGAGCCAGATATCAGTCTGCAATCAGTCGGGGCAGCACAGTGGCTCAGCAGCTTAGCACTGCTGCCTCACAGCGCAGGGACCTGGGTCTGTATGGGTTTCCTCCCACAGTCTAAAAATGTGCAGGCTGGATGAATTGGCCATGCTAAATTACCCATAGTGTGCAGGGGTGCGTAGAATAGGTGGATTAGCCATGGGGAATGCAGGGTTACAGGGATTGGGTAGAGGCTGCGTCTAGGTGGGATGCTCTTCAGAGGGTTGGTGTGGACTTGACTGGCCGAATGGCCTGTTTCCACACTATAGGGATTCTATTCATGTGACGTGTCCAGCATTAACATCAGCTGGGATCATTACACTATTGAAAATGTCTCTCTCTCTCTCAGTCAATCCCACTGTGACAAATGGTGAAATTTAGATTTAATAAACTCTGAAATTAAAACTAGCCTATTGGTGACCATGTAACCATTGTTGCTTGTTATAAAAGCTCATCTGGTTCCCTAATCTGCCAATTTACCCAGGTCTGGCCTACATGTAACTTGAAACTCTCTGTGTTGTTATTAATAAATAACTAATTAATAAATTAATTAACTTGGACAATAAATTCTGTCCTAGTCAGTAACTTCCCACGAATGAGCAGTAATTTTTAAATCTCAGTAAACTCAAGGGGATGAAGGTCCTATGATTGCTAACTGCAGTGAAAAGAAAGTGCTCTTTATAAATTTGTTCACCATTGAAACACAGATTAGCAGTTTTTATTAAGATTAGTGGAGGTCAGAATTTTTTTGCCCCTTTCATTCTACTTTTGAGCATAAAAATAATTATTTACAGGGTATAAGTTGATCAGTGCCTCAATCTGGTGTAAAAGCAGTGATGCAGCTTTAAAAAGTATGAATTTAAGGCTCAAGGCTGTCTTGGAATTTAGGCCTTGATAACTCATTTGGAGGTTTTTTTCTTTTCCTTTGATCTGAAGATAAAACATGATGCTGGTGAAGTGTGTGATACTGCAGTGGTTTCAAGGGCTGAGGGTGGTAAGAGACCATTGACGAGGATTATATGAAGTCAGGTGATCATTCGCATTCCTGTTGGTTCATAATTATATTTTTGCATTTTTTTTAAAGTTTACCTCTTGATGACTTAAGCACTGAGCAGGCCAGCTCAATAGCTTCAATATTGAGTTTCACATTTGGGGTTAAAATGAGATGCCTGGCCCCCCATTAACATATTCAAGAAGCCTAATGCCTGTTTGAGATAGCCACCAGAGTAACTTCGAATGTTGTCCAGTCCAAATCTAAGCATTTTTCTGGATTGGGAGTTTGGTCCCCAGAGTTGGCCCTTGTGCCCTTATTATAAGTCAGTGAAATATGATGTAACAAAACCCAGTTTTGGCCCCTTCTTTCCTTTATTCTATACATTAGACAAGTAGTTTTACTTAATAATTGTTGATTTTTATGCACATGTTTTGAATTTTGTTCCAGCACAATGTGGAGGGACTTCCACGGATACCAGTGATGTGATCCTGAGTCCAGGCTTTCCAGGAAATTATCCCGGTTACATGGATTGCATTTGGAGAATTTCATTAGAAGTTGGATATGGTAAGTAACATGGTGTGCCAGAAGGAAAAGTACATCTAATTTGAGTAGTGCTGTTTTTGGACAAAGTGATGTGGCTCCTGAATTTCAACAAACAAGGGTTTAGTTTGTCATTGTGCTGTGTGTCTTTTTAAGTTTCAGTTTGGTAGTGGAGGTAATGCTGAGTTTTTTTTTGTTTGCTAATTTACCTTTATGCACTTAGTACAGGAGATGCCTTTCTCCTCCAGTGATGGGTTCAATGCCAACAAGTGAAATACACGGTGCCTTTAAATATAAGAAGCATAGTCAGATTGCAAATTGTCAATGCGGTAGATCGCCCAGTAATTTCCCATGTCAGTGAGTCACAACAGTGATTCACTCTTTATTTTGCGGGAATATATTTATATGGTAATATCTTCATTCTGCATATGGGTTAGGCAAATCAACATCTATTCAGCAATGATAATTTGTAGATTGACAGTGCAAGTATCAAAAATATTCAATGCTAATTTTCTTTTCCACGCGCAATTCTGCACTATTGATGGAGTTGAATAGATAACTGAGCAAAAATGAAACCAAAGGCCAGAGAATAGGTTGGACATGGGTGATCAAATCAAATGATCAATTATTTTCTAAGACTATGGGATCGTCTCAATCCTTTTACAATTTTGAGACTGCTGCTAAATATCATCATTTAAGTTCATGAGTTTGCAAGTTTGTAATTAATTCCCTGAAAGGGTTCAGGGAAAATTTTTTTTTTCTCTTAAAACTGGTTCACTTCCAGTGGCTTACTTCATTAGAAATGACACTGATGACATTGCAAAACCCAATCCATAGTTTGATGTTTTATGGAACTGACATTTATACTTGACCCTCCCTAGAGTTAATTGGTGATGCAAGGATAGATTGGTAGGGATGGATGCACTTTGTTGATTAAACTGGCTGAGAACATCTGCCACTTCAGCTTCACCTGAAGCTCAAAGCTCTATTTCAGGCACATTTGTGATGGATTATGCAATGAGTGCATGGCTCTGCGTGACCAATGACAATGATTTGAGAAGAAGCTCAAGTGCCACTTGCGATTAATAATCATGCACAACAGCACGAATAGCAATAAAATTAATACACATAAAAACAGAAAATGCTGGAGAAACTCAGCCAGTCTGGCAGTATCTGTGGAGAGAGAAATAGAGTTAATATTTTGAGTTCAATATGATGATTCTTTGTCTTAACTGAAAGCGGCTAGGATATTGTGGTTTTGTTGCTGTAGACAGACATGTCGGAGAAGTGAGTAGAACAGATGAGTGAGTACCCCTGGACCAAAAGGCAAAAGGAATGCCAGTGGTGGTAAAGAAGTGATTGAAATGTAGAATAGGTGAAATCGATAGATGTGAACAGGAGAAAAATGGTGTGTTTTGCCGAAAGCAAAGTCCAAACGACAGAAATAAAACATGGCAAATGGTGAGATAGGGAGGATGGGTGAGGGGAGGCAGAGTTATAATCAAAATGGACAGCAGAGATCATGCTCTGAAGTTGCTAATCTCAGCATTGAGCTCCAGAGGCTGGAAAGTACCTCAGAAGAAAGTGAGTTCTCTTCCTCCAGCTTGTGTTGAGCTTCACTAGAACATTGGAGCAGACTCAGCACTTGCTCCTGTGCTAACATTCCAAATCTGCACTTGCCACAGTTTTTAAACAAAGCTGAGCACCCTAATTCTGTGGATCTCTGCTGTCCTGGGTTATTTATCTAATCTGTCTGACTTGATTTGTAAAGTATTGATGTAGTGTAGCTTAATCAGCGCAAACAGATTTACATATCATGCACAAATGATTATATCCCAAGATATTGAAATTAATTCTGGTGAAATGCTTCTAGCTGAATTCTCTTCATTTCCCATTTGGAACCAAGTCGTCATTTTAAATGTGCCTTGCATTAATTTTGTTATGTTAATGTAAGCTGTTAGAGTGATGCATGTTTCCTGCATTATTTAATTACGCAAGTTCTGCCTCACAGAAATTCGTATTAGACAGATAGATCTCAAATTCTTATTTGGGTTCTTTCAGTTGGCAACATATTACGAGAAAGGACAGAAATAGTCACATTGAGACTTGTTAGAAATTACATTTCTGTGTTTGACGGTGATCTGGACAGAGCAAAATAATATATGTTTCAGATCTTCTGTTTTGTTCAAAAGGTAAATTTCAATTTGTTTTCTGAACTTAGGGATTGATGTTCACTGGGTATGATCTGACAAACGCATGGTATGTTAAAAGAGTCACCCTGTCATATTAACACCATTATTCAGATAAATTTTCTCTTTCTCAGCAATGGTAGTAACCTTCTTCATAGGTTGTATAACTGTGTCCCACTCTCGAACTTGAGCACATTAGCCAGGTTGAAACATCAGTGCAATATGAAGGTAGCACCACACTGTCAGAAAGATTTTTGCACCAAAGTCCAGCCCTAGGGTGGACATCAAGGACCTACTGACACTATTTGAAGAGAAATAGACTTTTCCTGGTTTGCTGGTCAACTTTCATCCCTCAACCAATGTTGAAAAAACAAACTAGCTGGTTGTTTCCGACTTTGTTATTTGTGAAGCGTTGCTTTGAATGTGACTATTGTGTTCACCAATGAAACAAAAGTAACTACATTTCTTAAGTAATTCATTGAATCTTTTGGACCTTCTGAGGACAAAATGTCCTGTGCCATATAATTGGAAAAGCCCTCTTTTGTTCAGATCTGCAGAGTATGTGTATCAGCAGAAAGGTTTTGATCTAAAATGTACACATTTATTCAGCTAACAAGATCTCTAAATCTCAAGGCAGATTCAAATTTGACTTTCAAGGGAATTTTTCATGTGGATGGATCGACAGTTTTGCCTGTGACACAAACATACCAACATGTCTATCCCAGCTGTTTTCCATGCAAGTGGCTAGCTGTTTGTCTGACCAGGCTGATTTGGTAACAGAACTAACTGAACCCCGTTATGTGTCTTGTGCTTGTATTTGTTCATAAATTCATAGACAATATAATGGTACATCAAAATTAATAACAAATTTATTATTCAAATCCAAGTTTACTGATCTGAACAGAAAAGCAACATCGTACTGTGATTTACGTTTTAATTTTCTGCTCATCATAGCTGTTGTGCTGTTAACAAAATATCCCACATTGACGGATTGAAAGAACAACACCTGGTCTGTGTTAAATGATAAGTTGAAAATTTATAATTTAGTAAAATACTTTAAATTTTGGCATCCTGGTTGAAGTGGTTGATTTGACTGCAGAATTTTCTGCCCCAAATCCAGCTAGCTTTGCAAATTTGAATTAGAATTCAAATAAGACATAATATTAAAGTTGTCATTTTCTTTTCATGTGGAAAACTTCATTGTTGCAGTCATGTGACACTGCATGAGAAGGAAAATAAGAGAACAAACTCATTTACATTCCTCTGTGAACACATCAGAAGGTGACCAAAAGGGAGTGTAGTGAAGTGAACTGCAAAACTAAAGCAGACTAAGAGCTAATATAATGATAAATTCCTGGAACCCAGTACTGATTGATACATAGACTGTAGTACACAGATATTCAGCACCCGAGATTATGAGATCTGCAAAAGGAGCGGGATATGATCAGTTGTGTAAATAAAATCTACCATTTTTGAAATTCTGCTTCAGTGATTTAAATGAACCAGAGGCTTAAAACAGTGGATATATCAAATGAATTTAATTCCACACTTGAGTAGGTGGAAAATGGAAAATTATTGAATGAGAAAGGGATGTGCTGAGAGAAACAAAAAAAAAATGTCCATCCTTGAGAAGATGACTGTTTCTGTTCAAAGGATAGATCATTTATAGACACAGGAAAGAGGTTCCTTTCTAACAAAGTTTTCATTAGTAAATTTTTCACCACAGAATTAAGTATCAGTTTGGAACTCTATTCTTGTCCCCTCAACAGACTGTGGATGGGTAGGTCATTTAAAGCATTCAGCATTGATTTATGTTCCTTCTTAAGGAATAAAAAGTAGGAGCAGGACAATAGAAATGAGATGCATATCAGCCATGATCTAAATAAATGATGGAGCTAGTCTGTGGATTGAGTCATCTTCTCCTTTCTCTTACCATATGAAATACCGATCTCCAGCATCTCTCTATTCAACTTCAGTCCCAACAAAAATGTAAACTTGCCTTCAGGTTGTGTTGTTTCTAGTGTTTCTACCTTTCTCAGTTTGTTTTTAAATCTGTTTGCATCTCTTATCCATAATCTGCCTTTGCAAAGTATCAGTTGACATTTTGCAAAGTATTCCGTATATTCAACCTAAAAATTCAACTATCGTGCTGACTTACTGACGATAATTGCTGGAGGTCATGTAGGAGCAACAAGTGAAAAACGCAAGAAGCAGCAACAGTAGCACATTAAAAGTATAATAGACAAAAGTTTTTCGTTGGGGGAAAAGAAAGTGCTGTGCATTGTGTTCATTGCAACATCGCAAGTATGTAAAGCTTAGTGATATGTTTTGATATAAATGATGACATTCAGTTCTCTGCTTTTGATTAACAAAGGAAGGTTTAACAAATAATTTTTCACAGAGTGATGCCTCTTCGGTTTTCTGTAAGATGCCTAATTTTCATCAAAGAGAGGTTCTTGCTATGAATCATTTTACTGAATTTTAACAGATTCTCAAAAGCATACAGTGTTGTTGAGAATTATCTGCCTACAAAGTAATGTTTACAATGCTTTATTTGTTCAAACATACCTCCTACTGCGATACAGTTATTGATCTGTTTCAACAAATGAAAACTAATTAGTTTGCCTAGGGAGATGGTAAAATAAAACAAAAGTGGCCTCGAAAGTAAATCCTTCCAGCTTTCTTTTTTATGCTCTCTGCTGTCTGTAGTACCACATGAACCAACACCTTCATGGCTATTGTTCACACATGATTTGGGATAGCTATGGCATTCTGCTACAAAAAGGAACACAACTTAGACTATTCTGGACCTTACCCAATATCAAGAGAAATATATTTCCAGTCAGATGCCAAGATGGATATTTTAATCAGATGTTGAAATTTTAGTTAATTTCTCTGCTGAGAAAATCCCAGTTGAAAGAATGTCAGTAGGTTAGACAATAGACTAAATGACGGGAGTGATTGTAAGGCTGCAATGAATCAAGAGGTTCGGATTGTGTAAAGCAGGATAATAAACCTGAAATGCTTTTGAAACAAAATTTAAACACCTTGAGCCCAAATTTTGGTGCTGGTTGAAAATGGAGGATGTCAGGAATCTTAACCCTGCTGCCTCCAATGCCACCATCAAACTTAGTGTTGAGATTCAGATGTATTGTAGGCACGGGTTGGAAAATGATTGTCTGTACAAGGTACATGAACCAATGAAACGGTCAAACCTGTAAATGAGCTGCCTGGAAGTGTCAGGAAATTCCCACAGCTCTCAGAAGGTGTCCAGACTAGGGTCTGGAATGTACTTCCAAAGAATGTGGTGGAGGTAGGTTCAATTAAGATATTCAGAAAAGAATAACATGGTTTATTTGAAAAGGAAGAATGTACAGGGTTACAGGAAGAAAGCAAGAGAATGGCACGAAGGGAAATGCTCATTTGGAGAGATAGCACAGACATAAGATCATAAAATCTCAGAGCAGGAGTAGACAACTCAGCTCCTCAATTGTGCTCCACCTTTTGATATAATCATGACTGATCTCATCTCAAAATCATCTCCACTTCCCTGCCTGCTCTCCATAACCCTTCAACCCATTACTTATTAAAAATCTGTCCATGTCCTCCTTAAATTTCCCACAATGTTGCAGCATCCTTCACATTCTGGGAAAGTAAATTCCACAGATGCACAATGGTTTGAGAGAAGTACTTTCTCCTCATCTTATTTTATACCTCTAGCTCTCATCCTAAAACTAATACCTCTCGTTCTAGATTGCTGCACAAGAAGAAACATCATTTCTACATTGACTTTGTCAATCCCCTTTAGCAACCTCTCAAATTCACATGGATCTCCTTCCATTCTTCTAAACTCTGGACAGAATAGGCCTAAACTGCTCAATCTCCCTTTACAAGACAAAACTCTCATGGTGGACCAAATGGCCTTCCTCAGTGCTGTAATAATCCTGTGATTGTAGAAAGAAGTATCAGACTCCACAAGATCTGTTGAGACCTGTTGTGATGTATCGAGCTCCATTGAAGACATCAGATGTGTTTTTATGAATGTGAATGCTTATCTCAAAACAGTGTTGTCTGCAATGTAGAACTTTAAGTATCGGAACTATTTTTCCTTTGTGTGAATTGGAATTTATGGATACTAGGTGAGTTGGAGTTGTAAGTCAAGGAGGAAAGGATATCAGTGGAAGTAGGCACTAAGTTAGTATGAGGGGCTATGGGGGAACAGGTAGAGTATCATAGTGCAACAAAGGAGATGAGGGGCCGTTGTGATGGGTACAGGAGCATCAGATGGCATATGAGGAATGAAGGGCCATAAGATGTGGGTAGAATCATTAGCTGGCATGAATGGGCAGCGTGTTGGCATAGTGGCTAGAGCTGCTGCCTACACAGCGCAAGGGACCTGGGCCAAATGCAGGCATATGGGACGAGTTCAGCAGAGGAAACCTGCTCAGCATGGATGTGGGCTGTGTAAATTTTGTGCCAATTTCAGATACTTAGATACGTGTTATAGGGAAGCAATATCTTGCTTTTCTGAGAATAGGGTTGCAGCACATTATTGGGTCCTTTTGATCTTGAAATCATTGGAACTGATTCTGGATGCAAAAGAGTTGAAAATATTCCATTTTCCACTTTCAGAATTCCTCACTTGATGAAAGCTGTTCTTATCAATGTACATCAACATACGTGTTTGTTCAGAAGGACAGCATTTATTTAAAATATAATTCTCATTAGCTCTGAGAGAGATCCTGACAGTTTTAATTTATTTTATTTTTTTTAGGGGCTTATATCGAATTTCGGAACTTTTCCACTGAACCTAACCACGATTTTGTTGAAATTCGGAATGGACCACATGATACAAGTACGGTGATTGGCAGATTCAGTGGAGCTAAACTCCCACCTTTTCTGATGTCAACCTCTCATGAGACAACCATATACTTCCACAGTGACCATTCGGAAAACAAACAAGGCTTTGAGCTTATGTACCAAGGTAAGGATTCTAAAGATAACGGTAAGTAAGTGTATCATTGAAATATTACAATGTCGCAAATGAGAATACAAGATCTGAGCATAAATCACTGTACTTTTTAATTCCTAATCCAAGTTTCTACCAGGCAGAGAGTCTGGATGTATTTGTCAGGATGATTGGCACCCTTTTATGTTTAATTCAAGTGAGTTGGTCAAGGAATATCCTTGATGGCAATATATATAGAGCAAGAGTGAAATCATATCGCGCTCCAGATAAAGCCCAATGTTGTGTTAGTTTGGACAAGGAAGATTGTAGAGAAAAACAGCTTGACAGTACATTGTGAGACATGGTTACATTTTTGTCCCTTTTAGTAATCGTAGAAAACTGCATGACTTGTATATTTTATGAACATTTTATGAACATTTCCTTACAAACTTTCAAGACATACACAGAGAAAAGCATTTAATAAGAAGAGTTTGCTAACCACATAATTAAGTAACTGTAATGACATGAAAAACCCTGAAAATGAAAGTTTTATGGATTTTAAAGGCATTGATTTTAAAACAATGAGTTTTTCTTTAATCCATATATATTATGACAGCAATTGTGTTCAGTCTCTTTTTTTCTGGGATCAGATAAGTTTGCGAACAAAGACTTGGATAAAGGGCCCAAAAGTATGATTGCTAAGATTGCTGATGACAAAAAGATAGATAGGAAGGTGTCCTGTTTAATAGGGGTAATTGATCTGTGATCTGTGTTTCACTGTGTTGGCCTATTCGCTAATCTTTATATTTATACTGGATTGCTTAAGCCTTTGAGTGAATCTAGAAGAGTCAAGTGATTGACTCCACAGAAAATATGTCCTGCAAAGACACCAGTATTTGAGTTTGTAAATTCAAAGATGTAGAAACTTCTGCATATCAACTCTTCAGAATTAGAACTAGGTTATCTCTGCATTGCTCTGCAACTTAATCCAAACATTGTGTGGAACTTGAATTTGGTCAAAAGAGAACTTCGATTATGCAAAGGACACAGGTAGGTAATGCAGGTGGGCAAACATTTGGCAGATGGAGTCTGACATGGGAAAGAGTGAACTTGTCTATGTTGACATGAAGAATAAAATATCTGAATATCGTTCAAAAAGAGAGAAATTGCAAAACTCTGAGGTACAGAGGGATCTGTGTGCTGAGTGAGTCACAAAAATGTTAGTGTGCAGATATTGCAAATGATTAGAAGGACAAATTGAATAAATTACCATTGATTGTAAAGGAAATAGAAAGTTGTGAAGTTTTGCAACAGTTGTCGAGGGTGTTCTTGAAACCACATCAGGAGTATTATGTGTGGTTTTGGTCTCCTTACTTAAGGATCTAACTCCATGAGAAATTGTTCTGAAAAGGTTCTTTTGACTGATTCCGGAAATAAATGAGTTACCTTATGAGAAAAGGTTGGACAGGTTGAACATGAATGCATTGGTGTTTAATAAATAAAAGGTAACCTTATTCAATCACATGAGGGAACTTGATAGGATGGATCTTGAAAGGATATTTCTCCTATTGGAAGTGAGTGAAGCTAGAAGTCACAGTTTAAAGTCAGCGATAAGGAGAAATTTGTTCTTTGAGAGATTCATTAGTCTGTGGAATTCTCTTCCTCAGCGAGAAGTACATGCCAAGTCATTGATTTTTTTCAAAGCAGCATTAGATAGATTCTGATTTGGCAAGGGAGTGAAAGTGTATTGGGGGTAGAGGAAAATAGAGTTGAGGCCATAAGCAGATGAGGCATGGTCTAACCAAATGATAGAGCAGGCTTAAGAGGTCTATATCTTTCTCCTCTTCCTAATTTGGATATATGTTAAGGTGATTTATTTTTCTTTTACAGCCAATACTGCATGTTTCTGAATTTGTCTCTTATCAATAGCAATTTGTAATTAGCTGTGAGTGAATGCATAAGAAGGATCCATGCTGAGATTGGAAAATTACTTTAATGAGAATTTATAAATCCATTGTATGTTCTGAATTGAAGCACTGGTATTCCGGCTTTCTGCTCTACATAGCTATTTTACTGCTGACTTAAGGCACGTATTAGACAAATATGATACCAAATTAGCAATTGTAAGGCAAGGGTCCAGTCAAAGAGTTCATGTAAACTATAACTCATATTTGAAATTGATTGTACAGACACATAATTCATACATATGTTGTTGCTTGTATGCAGTATTTGTTCTGATTTCCAATATTTTATCATACTTTCTGCATCTGGCTTTCACACTGGGGGCAGAAATGACTGTTGATTGATCACAGCAATATTACTAAGAGATAATTTACAGTTGATCATTGTGTGATCTTTGATCCAGCATCTATTCCTTCATCAGGGAATATTTCTCCTGCTTTAAGCCCACTGCAATTGAGATCAGCTCTTTCTGTTCTGAAAGCACACAGGACATCCAGAGTATGAGGGAGCAACATTGGTATTCTGTCAAGATGATGGAGACCAAAATATCTCAGAAACGTCAGTTAATTTAAGTGAGCCCTGAGATTTCATGGAGTAGCCTTCATAGTAAGTCACTTTGGGCACAAATGGGATATCCAGCACAAAGTATAAATGGGGAGTACATGTCATATGAGCTGACACACAAGTTTCCCAATACAATTTTCTTTTGCTTGTGAGCTGAATTCTAATGTAACAGAGGCACTGTTGACTGTTTTATGAACTTCACTGCACAGACAGTCTGGGGAAAGTATATATGTGTGTTTGTATTGTTTTTATTGTTACATAATAAACCACAGTACAAGCTTAAACCTCACAGGGGCTGTTTTTATATCTGTTAAAATGTCTGAGGATTGACCTTAGGTTGTCGGCATCTTAACCCTTTTACTGCCTAGTAGCTGTCTAGATTCTCCACGCATTGTCTGACAAAGGCTTATTTTCAAGGGAGAAATGGATTAACTGGCAATCATATGGTATTACAAATGTATTTATGGAGTTTAGTAGAAAAATAATCTAAAGTCACAAAATCTTCTGTCCATCACCAAGTTCTGTGTTTCCTGAAAAAAAAGCACAAACAGTTGAATTTTCCTCCTGGAAGATTTTAAGAGCTTGTCATAGGAGGTAACTAAAGCTTTAATGGAAGAGGCATTTTCACTGTTGATGGAAAGGCCGTGCACTCTGTTAAAAAGCTGTGACGCAAAGGGTACACATGCGCAAAGAGAAAGCCAACATCACTGATACACAGCAGCTAGCCTCAAAGATGGCACGGCAAGGCCTCTGCTTCTCGAAAACTTCTTCAGATTTTTATGTGAAAACAAAAGTACAAAGCAGACAAACGGAGGGTGGCTCTCGCTCCTGGTGCCAGGGTTTCCCAGTCCCCCACACCCATTCCTGGCACCAACGTTTATCCTTGCTCCCACATGGGAGGGGTAACTTTGGTTCATTAGCTCCAGCCTTTCCAGCCCCCCTCGTCAATGCTGCATGTCCTGATGTTGATGTCACTGCGTACAGAATGTGGTGATGTCCATGCACGCACAGATGCTTCCTGTAAGTGTGTCTTGCTGCAGCCGGTTGATATCATGGGCCATTGTGCAAATGCAGAGGCCATTTTCTTGTTATGAACAGGAGGCGACGGCCTCGTGACATTATCACTGAACTAATGATCCAGAGTCCCAAGTAACATTCTAGGGACCCAGGTGGAAACCTTGTTCATGGCAGATGGTGGAATTTGAATTCAATAAAAATCTGGAATTATGAGTCTAATGATGATTATGAAACTGTTGTCAATTGTTCAGGAAAAAACACATCTGGTTCTCTAATGTTCTTTAGTGAACGAAAGTGTCATCCTTACCTGGCCTGGCCTACATGTGACTCCAGACCCACAATAATGTGGTTGATTCTTAACTGCCCTCCTGAGCAATTAGGGATGGGCAATAAATTCTGGCTTAGCCCAAGGTGCCCACATCCCGTGAATGAATTTTAAAAATCACTCCGCTGTTAAAAATGTAACCTGTCGATATTCTGATTATTTGAGCGAAAGGTAAAGGCAGGAAAAGAACAATATTAAGTAGATGGAGGAAATCTGCAGAAACATGCAACCCAAAGGGGCCTGGAGGCAGGGGGTTGGGGGGGATGTGGTGGTTGGAGTGGTGGTGGGGGGAGACTTGTGAACAAAACACTTGTAATCAGGTAGGTGAATGGAATGTTGGTCCTTATTTCAAGGGTTTGGAATAAAGGAGTAAGAAAGTCTACTGCAACTGTACAAGGTGCTGGTGAGACAATATCTGGAGTACTGAGAGCAGTTTTGGTCCACTTATTTAAGGAAAGATATTATTGCATTAGAGGCAGTCATAGAAGGTTCACTAGGATGATTCCCCAACTGGAGGGATTGTCTTATTAGCAAAGGGACTCTACTTATTAGAATTTAGGAGAATGAGAGGTAATTTCATTGAAACATATAGGATTCTTAAAGGGCTTGCGAGGATGATTTCCCTCATGGGAGAGTCTACGACCAGAGGGCATAGTCTCAGAATGAAGGGGCACCAATTTAAGATTGGGATGAAGAGGTTGTTATTTCTCAGCCAGTTTTTAGACTTGGGAACTCCTTGCTTCAGAAAGCTGTTGGGGAAGAATCCTTGTGTATATTTAAGGCTGAGATAGATTCTTGGTCAGGAGGGGAATCAAGGGCTTTGGAGAAAGGGCAGGAAGGTAGGCATACAGTACAGAAACAGACCACTCAATCAAACTTGTCTTTGCTGACCTGATATCCGAAATAAATTTAGTCCCATTTGCCAGCATTTGGCCCATATCTGCTCTAAACCTTTCCTATTCATAAACCCATCCAGATGCCTTTTAAATGTTCTAATTGTCCCAGTCTCCACCACTTCCTCTGGCAGCTCATTCAATACACACATCACATTCTGTGTGAAAAAGTTGCCCCTTCGGTCCCTTTTAAATCTTTCTCCTCTGCCTTAAGCCTATGCCCTCTAGTAATGGATTCCCCCAACCCAGGGAAAAGACCTTATCTATTTACCCTA